TTTTTTTTTTTGATTCTTAAATGCAACAGAGAAATAATTATTGAACAATTATACAATGATCACTGCACATTTCACATATCTGTTTCAAAAACTTACCAAAATTATCTATTCTGTAGGGTCGACCAAATATTTTACAGAATAAATTACTGAAATGTTGGCATCTATTTTGCGTAATTTTGTAATTGTAAGCTATTGAAAGAAAGAAATGTAAAGAAAAATTTTTTGCTTAATACAGTTGATAGAGTCGGGTGAAAGGTGTAATATATGATATTTAGATTTTTACTGGATTAAGTTTTGCCGATGTAAATGTAAAAAAGTGTCAGCAATTTTTCAAAACTTTTTGCTATAAATGTTTAAACAAGTCAAAAAAAACAATTATCAACTACTTCAGAAAAAAGAAAAAACAAATTCACTTTTTTTTCAATATAGCTAAGTTATAATCGCAACAGTTGTTGTCAAACCTTTTTTTTTTTTTCTTTGCAGCAGCAGCAAAACAGAATTGATATGTGTTGAAAAAATGCTTTTTTTTTTTCATAGTTTACAGGAAGTTATTTTAGAGAACTGTAGTCGGTTATATGTATTTATAATTTTCCTCCTTTTTTTTTTCGTTGTATTTTGAACTGACACTTCAATCAGGAATTTAGTAGTCAAAAACAGGTTATGTTTACTTAAGAAAACATTAGAAAAAAAAAAAGAAAGATGTCATTTGGGTTGAAGAGATTAAACTACCCATTGTACCTTAAAATTTGTTCTATGTTCAAATAATTAAATAATTGAATGCTGTTACTTTACTTTTTAGTTGATTTGTTGCTCATATCCAAAAATAGTTTTATCCGACTGTTGTTTGATTGTAGTAAACAGAATTCTTCGGAAGGTAATTATGCTACAATAGTTTTCTTGATGACCTACTACCTTCTGATTCCAATTCAGAGCACATTGATCAAAAAACATATTCAATTAGGTGTTTACAGATATAGTGACCTTTCAAAAAAAAAAAAAAAAAAAAGCACACTACAGTTGTAATATAAAAACAACAATGTTTTTTAGTTAGCCCAATAATGTTTGCCGTTATTTTGAGTACTTTAAGCTTTAGCAATGTCAACTTTAACTAACAACGACAAGACAAAAAAAAAAGTACGTTTTTAGTGTAGTGTATTATGAAAAGAAAAGTGTTCAATGATGTGGTAATATTAATTTTTATATGTATATCAAATGATACATTTCTAATTAAAACTTGTAAACAATTATTAAATTTAATGTCTAATTTTAAGTTTTACATCAAAATTATATGCTGTCTAAGCAAAAAAAAATTTTATATTTTAATAACTTACATCTATAATTTTCCTCTCTCTGTCACTTCCTCTTTTTTTTTCCTCCCCCCCGCAACAGACTATAATTTATCAAAATAAGCTTTAAAATTGAAAATTATTTTTAGTAGACACATTAAAGTTGAACAACTATTAAAAATAATTGATAAAAAAAATTCTTTTTTCTATTTTCAGAACTTTACCATAAATATTTAGTTGTTACAGAAAACAATTAAAATTTAGACGAAAACAACAAACAACAAACAATTAGAAAAATTTGATATCAACAAATCAGTTATATTAAATATTATAATACAAAATTTTTCTATTATATTTATCTAGGAAAAATTAAATTAAACAAAAAAAAAAAAACAGTAATTAACTATGTCTAATTTCATTGTACCTCTAAGTATTTGAAACTACTCAGATCAAATATTATCTAAACTTTGCAAATTGTTGTTGCTTTTACTTTAGACATTAAAAAAAAAAAAAGCCATAAAAATAAACAAGAAAAAAGTATTAGATTAATCAAAAAAACACAAAAGTATGTTTTTTGAAAGTATCCAATTTTTTCCCTTCTAATTTTTTTTTTTCAATATTTCAATTACAGTTCAACCACAAATTATAAGCGCTTTAGTAAATTAACAGTAACTATCGGTAATCTGTTTTCGCATAAAGTGCTCAAAATTGTTGCAACTTATTAATACTTGATTCTTAATTCTCACAAACTTTTTTTCCCCAACTAATCTATTAAGTTTTATTTTTTTTTTATAAAAACATTTAAGCTATACTACAGAACACTGATTACCTTAAAAATGTTAGAAGTCCGCTAATTCATCACCACAGATGTTAAATGTTCTGAAAATTACACACTCAGCTGCTAGTCTAATCAATTTCTTGTTTCAGTCAATTCAAATAAATGGTGTTTAACTTTATAATATAATCTTAAAAACCACAATTTATTGACCAAAAGTGTAAAACTAAAGTGAATAAACTGTTCAAAAAGTATCAAGTAACTTACAGCAAGAAAAAAGTAGTGAACTTTAGTGAAAATACATTCAAATTGGTAATGCTTTTGAAGACTTGCTAAACGTATCGGAATTACTGTTCAGATGTCACCAGCTGAAAGGAAAAAAAAACTTATTTTTTTCAAGACCAAAAAGTACATTTATTCAAATCATATTTTTTAAAGTGCTTCTTTCTTTTTACATAATAAATAATTTTTTATGAGTTTAAGTCATAAATTATTGAAGAATTTTTGGTCATTAAAATTAAAAAGAGGGGGGAAGGGAGGGGGGTGGTGGAGAAGAAGGAAAATTTTAAAACTGATTTCAAAAGTTTAGTGCACTGCAATAAAAAAAAAAAAATTAGGGATAAAATTTTTGTTTATAGATATGAAACAAAAAAAACTTTAAAATAAGATTTTAGTTAGAAAAAATTTAAAACATTTTATGAATTTAAAATATTCAAAAAAAAGCACTTGTAACTTAAATCTTTGCTTTTGTCTTTTTTTTTTTCTTCTTCTAAATGCCAATTTGCAGATTGGTTTGGCAAAAAATAAATAAATAAATAAATAAGTAAATAAATAAATAAAAAGTTGATGTTAATATATATTAAAGTTTTTTTCCTGATAAATTTTGACGATATATATATATGCACTTGAAACAAGTTAAGAAGTAGTTTAGAAGAAGTATATGTAGAAAAACAAATCTTTTACCTTTCTTTTTTTTCTTTAAATGCTTTTTTTAAAGACCTAAACGAAAAGCTTAGTTCCGAGCATTTTTTGTTTTCTGCAAACACATAAATCTTTTAAGAGTAGCAGAAAAAAAAAAAAAATTAATTATTCACTAATTTATATGTCATAAAATGTTGCTTTATTTAAGGGTTGTCAGAATTATAGTGGAATAGTTAAATTGGGAACAATAATTGTGAATGGCTTATTTTGTTTCACAAGCAAAAAAAATGCTTTTTTTTCTTTTTTTTTGTTTTTTAATGACAAAAATTTAGTTGGTTAAATAAAAATAGCAAATAAAATTATAATTTAAAAATTAGATTTTTTTTCTTTTTAATTGGAAACATATGCACTTTAAAACAGCCAAAAAAAAAACTGCATTTGTGGCAGCAAAGAGCTGTAATCGGTTTTGTAATTTGAACGAGAAAAATTTGCTGCCCCATAGCAGGCTCGAACTGCTGACCTTCGCATTTCTTAATCACTTATAAGTACGACGCGCTAACCGACTGCGCTAATGGGGCCACTGCGGAGCGCTCGTTAAATATGCCATTGACAAACGTGACAATCAATGCGACAGGTTTCACTGAAATGACATATTTGATCAAATTGAACGA